AACTAAGAAATGGACTTCGTCTTCGACAGCCTGACTACTACAGTGACGACAAAGCCTGTCTGCAAGTGGCGTCGCAGGACGAGAAAATCTACCACGTTCTATTTCTACTGGAAGTGTTCCACAGCGAAGTTTACCTAGAACGCTACGGTGCCATCTGGGCAGTATAGCAGTTATGTATGGTTCTGGAGTAACAGTGTACTTAAACTGTCTATATGTGCGTAGCTTATTACCGTTGGGATTACCCTGGTCATTCCACAATTCCCGTAGCCACTCCTGATGATCTAACAACTGTATATGTTGAAATGACAAAGTCAATTCACTACTAGACATGTGTAGCAAGTCTTGCACTGGGAGTTGCAACGATTGTAATAAAGATGACACTGTGTTATCCCATGATTTGGCTAAACGCCGTGACCAGCTGCTAATAACAGAAGGCAATCTATCAGGTCCCATACGATGCAACTTAACCCAAACCTCGTCAGGAGCGATAAGTGCTACATATGTCGTCTGCATATAATAACAAACTGAGCCTAACATCATCAATTTCAATGCCACATCCTAAACTGTTTATCTCGTGAGCAAGGTCGTTCACATATATTGAAAACCGTCGGTGACAACCCACACCCCTGACGAACGCCGGAGGTTACAGAGAAAATGTCTGTGTATTCATCGTTAATACGGACCCGGGCCGAGGTACTGTCATACATGGACTGAACTGCGTGTAAGAACTTCCCGTTAATGCCAAGCTGCAGTAGTTTATACCAAAGACAGTGTCTGTTTACCTTATCAAAAGCCTTCATAGCATCAATATAGCAAACAAAGGTAGACTTGTTAGCTTGTCTTCTATTTTTTATAACTGAATAAATGCTATACAAGTGCTCTAAGGTTCCACGTTTAGAGCGAAACCCATTTTGTTCATCCACTAAAATCTTATTCGCTTCCAGCCAAGAACTAAGTCTAGAATTAAGTATATTCGCATAAATTTTACACGGGACTGATAACAAAGCTAGATGCCTCTATATCCCAACGGGTCACGGGGGTCAGAACCGGTTTCCTAATAGGATTAATAATGCTATGACACCATGCTAGGGGGCAGATATTATTATCAAAACAGTAACTGTAAATACGAAAAAGGATATCAACGCAAGCCTTGTTCTTCAACGCCTCAGCCGGTATACAGTCGGGCCCCGCCGCCTTCTTGGGTTGTACAAGTTTTGTTAAGGTAATTGTTACGTTGTTTGAATGCAAGGAACAAAAACTTCGCTAAACGATTTAAAATACCTGAATCGTGAGATGTGCAAAGTAATACCAGTTTATCACTGGTCACATGACCGTTGTCAATTTCATTGTTTACATGACAAAAATGGGTATCACTGAAACTGGGTGATTCTTGTTTGGAAAATAAAGAGCTATAGTCATTCCGCCATTTATCAAGGACAACTGCTCCATCAGAAGATACAGAATCGTTATCAGGAATAACCTCCCAAGGAGCAGTATCTTTACGTTCTTCTGAAATACCCAACATGCCTATGGTCTTCCAAAAACTACGAGGATTATTATCAGAGTGTTTATCTTATAGTCGTTGCTGCTCCTTCAACTGATACTCCCGTTTAGTCTTGCGTAGCTGCCTGCTTGTCGAAAGCTTTTCTATGACTGGTATAGATGTGGCGAAGTTTCCTTCGCAATACAAAAGATTTACAACGTAACCACTCACGCTCGGCAGCTTTAGCGTCATCACACAGTGACCGTAGATTCTCACTCCAATAAGGTTTATCAACTGATTTACACTTATTCAATCTAACCTTCGACCTACTAGCTGTACAAGAGGGAACCCCATCTAATTCCGCATACATAAAGTTTAAAACATCATTAAATATCTCGTCAACATCGTCCTATACGTTAGGCAATTTATGAGACTATTGTATCAACCAGGAACAACCCATGAAATAACAAAGGGATAATGGCGACAATAATTTACAATTGCTTTGCGTTCCTCCGATATATAAGCAGGTGCAGTTTGACTGTCAAGTCACTCTGCATCTGAACAAACCTTGGAACGCTAGCAACTCTGATGTCATCATTATCCTGAATTCATATATTTTATTTTAAGGTAAGACATTTCCATGCGTTTCTATGTTCGTTTTATTATATGTTGAAAGTGTTTTAGGATTACTGTTTTAGATTTCGGTAACTTCAAATCATTTATATTATTGTAGATGTTCAGCTACAGGCGTGCGTTCATTTGTGTAGTTATTGTCCAATATATTGCGAAATTGTTATAATGTTTAGGAAGGGTTGAACCCCGGAAACAGGTGTACACTTACACCTATGTAAAACTATTATGTATATTCAGGCTAATAAGAGCAGCGCTTGTATTAAAGGGAGTACGGTAGTGAGTAAATTGCACTACCGTAAAACATCTACGAAACATCTACGATACGTGTACTAGTTAATGTTTCATTATTTTAAGCTGATGTTACCAACAGGAATCTAATGTGTTAGCTAGTGTATTTGTATCGTTGTGTGCCGTTCTCTGAACTTAAAAATATGTTCCTGTAAGGTTCTACCTGTACATAAAAATATAATGCCCAACATACGCTGATGTTTCGATAAGTATAGTGTTTATATATATGAGTACAATATGTTCGTATCAGTTATCTGTAATACTGTACCTTATCATTATTTGATGTGTTCATATATATGTATACATATGATGGAATTGAAATATTTTATAAATGTAATGTTCAAAACATGTTGATGTTCTGCGAAGCTTAATAATTATGAAGATGAATATAATATGTTCACGTCAGTCTAATGTAATACTGTATGATTACTTTGATATGTTCATATATTGAATTGAATTGAAATGTCTTATTGAATTCACTCTGCATTTGAATAAACCTTGGAACGCTAGCAACTCTGATGTCATCATTATCCTGAATTCATATATTTTATTTTAAAGCAAAAATTACCGTGAGACAGCGCGTTCTCAGTTCCTTTATGTTAACCTTCTAAGGTAAATACTGTATGCTATGCGGCGATTACCGTTTAACTTTGTTTAACTCATGTCATGAGTTATCGCCCCTGATCTTTGTAAATTTCAACCCCTCAGTGATCATGATATTTCTGTAATGTTTTAATGCACAGACAATATTGCCGGCGCTCATGCATTCAATCTGTATTAACATATATACTGTTAATGTACTGAATATAACAGACCCACAAAAAGATAACGGTGTGACTTATTCCTGGGTGGGTGAGTGAGTGAGTGATTGTAGTTATGCAGTCATCAAGCTATATCAGAGGGGCCTGAAGTTTGTAATCTTAACACTATCCCAGCTATAAGACTGCGACAATAAATCTTGATTCTTTACACTGCGCATTCAATGGCGATTTCAAAACACAATCACGCATTCGACATCACTCGTCCCTTTCCGTGACATGCAAACTGTCCCTGAATGACGAGTTGATCTCGAATGAACCACGTCAACCCTGTACGGTATATCACTTCCTGTGCTCAGTTTCCCTCTACACCGGTTACCTAGGGTCTATCTCGCCTGATGATCAGTTTCCCTGCACACCGGTTACCTGGCTGTCTCAGGTAAGTGTGTTGTCACAGGGGCTGTGTCTATTCCAGTTATAACGCTACACACCTGTCCTACTGTGTACAGGTAACACTACAATGGTTCATCTAACTGTTAGGTCATCTCCAGGCACATTCTCAAATCTGGGCACCTAATATACTGCAATATTTAGACTGAGCATATTGTATGAAGTGTCTACTTTCATTAATTCCTTGATCAGCCTCTTGACTTCAATACTGAGGTCTGCTGATGTATGTGCATGTATATATATAATGTGTGTTTGCTAAACTTGTTACTGAATTGATCTCTTATAAATGCTACAGCACAAAATATGGTAACATACCTCTACATTACCACATTATTTTACATCTAATGTATAGAAACCCGAACTAAACGTCTCCTACTTTAGATATGATAATGAGCGGGTGTCGCCATCAACTCTGTCAGGTGATCGATATGCTCCACACGGTTCATAACTGCATGTTGTAATGCTGGTGACGACGAGTTGCAAAGATCCATTGCCGAGCTGCTCACAGACAGGTCACTGATTCCTTGTGCTCCGTAACACCAAAACATGCCCAGTCTGTTATACTATACAATGTCATGTGGTAATGCTTGTCAACCTCAAAAGATAACATATTCCTAAAGCACAATAGCACAGCTCATACAACAGCACGGGGGACCGACCGCCTGACTTTCATGGCAGTGTTTCTTGAATTAAAAACCTGAACTAAATTATGAATTAATACCTTAAACGAGCAAGGTTTGAAACCAACGAAAACAACAACATAGAAATGTGCTGTAATTAACAGTTGTATTCTAAAATTAACTAAGTTCAGAAATCAGTACAAAGGCACCACAAGTGCCCATAAACATTCGTATTGTAGCTCAACGGTTCCAGTATGTCAGGCAAAAGAGAGAATTTTGTGTTTGTGTAAACCGTGAAATATCTGAGGGAATGTATGTTCTGTGTTTTACGTATGAAAAAGTATCCAGTATCAATATCAGGCCAGAGAAAGAATCTACAAGACTGACAGAATCAAACCAACAGACGGTCACTTCCCTTCATCCTATATCCAGTTTCTAACGCTTCTCAAATACAGGATTGTTTGTGTATAACGTGAAATATGTGAGGGAATGGCTGTTCCATGTTTTACGTATGACCAGAAATACAGAGCCACCCACACACGCTCACATCATACACACACAATACACACGGCCCAGTTACAACCCGTCTACCAATGTAATCTCTCATTGATTATAGGATTTACATACAGTCGAAATTATGTTTTCATTTGTTCATTATTTCCAGAGCAGGATTTACTTGACATGGCCTTTTGTAGTTTTAGACCTGTCAGTAAATCGGGACTACAAATATAGTCGGTGTTTGTGTAATGAATGTTGTGGTTTCTATAGTGGATAGAATGTTTATGTCGTGTCTCCTGACTTTTGGTAGGAGAGATGGCGACCTCCCAGAAGTTGGCATGCACCATATGTACAGAGGTGTTTGACAAGCCCTGTACACTTGTGTGTTATCACACCTCCTGTCGGAAATGTGTCGTCAACTACACCAAAACCAGACGGGAAGCCCTCAGTGCCAAGTCTCTCCTGTGTCCATTCTGCAGCAAGATGACGAAAGTGTCTGACCCCAAGAGACCAGTGGAGGAGTGGGCGGATGACGTCAAGCCTATCTTTGTCATTCAGGGACTGTTGGACTCGTTTGGCCCCGGATCTAAAGGTGAATAGTTGTAGGTTGTAGCAATATACGTGTTGTTTGTAAAGAGGTAACAGAATAATTGATTTAAGCAAAATAAATGTTTGTGATGTAATGAACATTGTATGACCCCTGCTATGTATATACTAGTATAGTTTGATATATGTAAAAAAACCTGTTTGTGAGGAATGTGAACTTTCATTGTGGATATGTGTTCAACGAGCAAGACACAGCATATCGGGTGACATGACAAAAGACATATATAAACCTTATTCATGATCCCTACAACAACGTTTACGGTGAGACAATTCCAAAAGTATTTACATGACGTTTCAACCTGAGACGTGTTCCGATGTTTCTGATACATGTGTCAAGTAGGAACATGATGCGACACATCCAGCCCTATAATACACTGTGATATCACCAGGTTAATGTCACCACACCTAGCCCTATAATACACTGCGATGTGACCAGGTTAATATCACCACATCTAGCCCTATAATACATTGCGATGTCATCATGTTAATATCACCACATCTAGCCCTATAATACATAGAGAATACTACACGAGGTCTCATTACATACGAATTATACGAAACGAGTGTCCTTCCTATGGTATCTGACCGAGCGAAAGCGAGGTCAGATAACATAGGAAGGTCACGAGTTTCGTATAATTCGTATGTAATGAGACCGAGGTGGTATTTTATTTATTACCCACGTCTTACATGCATTAAATTGACAAAATAACGTAGTTTTGTTAATATTTTGGTTTCAAACCGAAACCGGTTTCATAAAGAGGTTGCGGAAGAGTTTTGTACTGTAGTACAATATTTGCATGACGTCACTGTAATGACGTCACTGCCTTGGTAACCGACGTCACGATGCATGTCAGTTGTCTTCGCCTCGTACAGCCTCCTACAGTAAACTACTCCGTAGCACCTCGTTTCTTGGTTTGCAGTTGCTTCATTCGGCTAACATCACTGGTGGAAACATTGCGTTTACGTTTTTCGACGGGTATAATGTCTCAGTTCGACTCACAATAAAACAGCGACACGGCAACGTTCGCGATGTTTACATTCCCACAATGCATTTAGTTGTAGAATGAATGGATCCACGTGTTTGTTATGAATGAAAAAGTAGTTCCGTCACAACATGACCTAACTGAGAGGTCATCGGTTATCCAATCAAATCGTTAGAATCTCAGGTCAAGTCGTTACGACACAGGTCAACGCGATACGACACACGTGTGACGTACGAGATTAGTATGCAACTCCCATACGTTGACCACGTGGGTAATAAATTGTGATATCACCAGGTTAATATCACCACATCTAGCCCTATAATACATTGTGATGTCACCAGGTTAATATCACCAATCCTAGCCCTATAATACACTGCGATGTCACCAGGTTAATATCACCACATCCAGCCCTATAATACATTGTGGTGTCAAGAGGTTAAGATCACCACATCTAGCCCTATAATACACTGTGTTGTCACCGGGTTAATATCACCACATCTAGCCCTATAATACATTGTGATGCTACCAGGTTAATATCACCACATCTAGCTCTATAATACATTATTATGTCACCAGGTTAATATCACCACATCTAGCCCTATAATACATTCTGATGTCACCAGGTTAATATCACCACATCTAGCCCTATAATACATTGTAATGTCACCAGGTTAATATCACCACATCTAGCCCTATAATACATTGTGATGTCACCAAGTTAATATCACCACATCTAGCCCTATAATACATTGTGATGTCACCAAGTTAATATCACCACATCTAGCCTTTTAATACATTGTGATGTCACCAGGTTAATATCACCAAATCTAGCCCTATAATACATTGTGATGTCACCAGGTTAATATCACCACATCTAGCCCTATAATACATTGTGATGTCACCAGGTTAATATCACCACATCTAGCCCTATAATACATTGTGATGTCACCAGGTTAATATCACCACATCTAGCCCTACAATACATTGTGATGTCACCAAGTTAATATAACCACATCTAGCCATATGATACATTGTGATGTCACCATGTTAATATCACCACATCTAGCCCTTTAATACATTGTGATGTCACCAGGTTAATATCACCACGTTGATGAATGGTTATTTCAGATACAACTAACTGCAGTTATTGCAAGGAGGAAGGGGAGACAACTCCAGCTACATCTTGGTGTTCTGTTTGTGACGACGCACTATGTGAACGATGTACACGGATGCACCAACGAATCCCCTCTTCCCGTAACCATGACATAGTTGATTTGTCTAGTGAGACAAAGGTCAAGGTCAAGAGAAAGGTCATGTGTAAAGTTCACAAGGACGAGAATATCAAATATCTTTGCAAAGATTGTAAAACAGCTGTTTGTCAAACATGTTGCATTATCCATCACAGGAAATGTGACATGGTTGTTGAAATTGAGTCAGAGATTCCTGCAATGAAAACCGAGCTGAAAAAGAATAAAGAGAATTTGTTAAAGAAACACGATGAGATGAAAACATATGTTGGAAAACAAAACTCCATTGTCAAAGAAGAATTGGCGCTTTATATACGAATAGAATCAAGTATCAAGTCTGCAAGTCTCAGAGCAATACAAATGATGAAAGCCAAGGAACGGAAACTTCTGTCTGAACTGAAAGAGATGTCTGACAGACACATTGGACAACTGAAGGCAGACATTAAGTCAGGTGAGATGTCAGTGCAGATGTACCAACAACAGACTGAGCTGATAGACCAGGCTCTACAATCTGAGTGTGACATGAATGTGTATGAGATATATCAGGGATGTGAGGCCGGTGATGTGCAGGCTGTCGGAGTCGTAGACGTTAAGGAGAAGGGAAGAATAGACAGGATAACATTCAGACAGGACTCGGACAAGCTGAGTAGAGCACTGGAAGATCTCCATCTGGGTGAGATACACGTCCAGTGTGACGATGTGCTGGACCTGAAGGCTGCTCCTGTGTTACAGGACACCATTAACGTGCTGGACCTGAAGGCTGCTCCTGTGTTACAGGACACCATTGATGTGCTGGACCTGAAGTCTGCTCCTGTGTTACAGGACACCATTATTGTGACAGTAGCAGGAGATGCAGGTGGAGGATACCCCATTGACGTGACGGTGTTAGAGGTGAATGGTACAGACACAGTGGTAGTTACAGACTTCGAGAACAACAGTGTCAAGTCCTTCTACAGCAGTAACAGTCAGCCGGGTCACAGCAAGCTCAATCTGGTAGGTAAACCCTATGGTATAGCAAGGCTGAAACACAACCTGGTGGTTGTCACTCTGCGGGATACCAGTCAAATTGTAACAGTTGAAGTGACCCCTGACCTAGTGTTGCTGTCGACCATCACAACCAGCAAACAGTACTGGGGTATAACGTCTCCTACACCATCAACACTAGCAGCAAGTTCCGAGTCCCCTCCCTGTGTTGATATCCTGGATATGTCGGGACACGTGCTGAAGTCAGTTTGCCCTCGCCCCAATGGTTGAGATATCTTAAAGCTCCCCAACTTCCTCTGTACCACGAGGACAGGAAACATCCTGGTGTCTGACTGGGGAACCAACTGTGTCGTGTGTCTGACTCCCGAGGGTGATGTGGTGTTCAACTACAGACCTACAGGAGATACAGCACTGAAGAATCCACGTGGTATCACAAGCACCAGCACAGGCGACATCCTAGTGACAGACTACTCACAACACAGAGTCATCCATCTGACAGAGTCAGGACAGTTTGTCAGAAACATACTGACATCACTGGATGGTGTCCAGTATCCATGGGGACTGTGTGTAGGTGGGCGTTGTCGTATGTACTTGTGTGCATTAGATGTAGTGAAGGTATTTACATACTGTAAGTGAGTGAACATGTGAGAACCCTTTTTTGTATTAAATATAGATATGATGTGATGCACTGTAGGAACATTTGACTTTTGATGTGAACGTGACGAACCATACCTGTTGTAGAAAGACCCAGCTTGTAATGTATTGAGGGTTGGTGGGGTAGCCTAGTGGTTAAAGCGTTCGCTCGTCACGCCGAAGACCAGGGTTTGATTCCTTACATGTGTACAAGTCCATTTCTGGTGTCCCCTGCCGTGATATTGCTGGAATATTGCTAAAAAGCTAAAAGTGACATAAAACCATACTCTCTCACCTACTGGAATGTAATGTAATGTAAGCAGCTATTACTTCTACTTTATATTCAGTTATATTGTCTCAGTAGCATTATGTGGTCCAATCTCATGTAGAATATGTATATTTTGAGTTGTACTGATTTTGAATAACTTTTTTGAGTGAATTTGATGAACAATTGTTTTACCAACTTTACTGAATGGGTTGTAGGTCTTGTGGCATGTTTAACATCGGTTTTCACTCTCTTCTCGACATGTTGTGTGATATGTATTGCAGGGCAATCGTCTTTGCTCACATTTTAACAATTCTGTATACGTTATTCTGATCACATTTATGCTTTTGATCTAACTCAGCGTTGGATACGGGATCGTATTTGATTGGTACAAAAGCAGCCAAACTAGTTGGAGCATGAAATCAGTTTAGAGGAGCCTCTGTGGCCAAACGATCACCAGATAGATACAGTACTACCACTGCACACATACACATGAAATGTCTTGCCAACTTGTGACGATTTGTGATGTACAAACCGACAGCTCTGTCTGTTGAACAGCGGGTACGTGGGATTGACATGACAACTGAGTGGTCAAAGGGAGATAATTGGTTATGAGAAGTATATGAAGAGCCATAAAATGTAGCGAACGAATGAATAGTTTATCAGTGAGTTAGTTGCGGTTTTACGCTGCTTTTCACATTATTCCACACATTGTAATTTGTTGGGAATCGAACCCGGGTATTCGTCGTGACGAACGAACACTTTAACCACTCACTGGCCCCTATTTTATCACAATTTGTGTTTAGTGTGCGTGTTATAAATTGATACATGCAGTGTTTATACCGACGTGTACAGTTATATACTCTCTGCCTCATATCATTCATTCACTTGATGGAGGAGTAAGAAACGTTGTGTTCCTCATAATAAAGAAGTTGACATCGATAAAACTCTCTTCCTGATGTGTATCCTTCTAAATGCCATCAAAGACCTGATGTGTTACATGTACGTAGTGATGTCTGGCTCAGTATAGAACATTGCCATTTCCTTTGCTAATATGTTATACTACCCTTGCAATTGTTCTGCCTTTGAAATTTCTAATTATGATGTGTCTTGATTTGTAAACTTGGTTACTTTTATAATACAATTGTTAATTTGTTGAACGTAGTGCAGTTGTTTGTTGTTTCACACTATACTAACCGCCAAAGAAACGTTACCCTCCTTCCTTACTGACGGAGGTACCTATCTTCAGCTGGCGTTGTGATGCGTGGACGTCCACTACTTGGTCTGTCTCCGGGTCTGTGTGAAGCCCTGAATAAGTCTTATAACCGTGATACCATGTCATCCGAGGGCGTTGGCAACAGCATTGTATGTCGACCCCATCTGCACCATTACAATGGCTCTTTCTCTCACTTCATCTGTTATTCGTGGCATATTTCTCGTACTTGTGTATCATATCATGCATTCTAGGTTCTCTTCATATCTTACAGAATCATTCAACATGAAATGGATGCAAATACTGCATGCATATTGCTGCGTTTTGGCGATTGATATTGCTATGTGTAAGCAGAAAATTGATAAATGTTACTTTGCAACAAAAAGATGACGGACCGGAAGTGGTACATCCAGGGACATGCGCTTCGACCGGGGAGGGTCTGTTTGAGGGTCTGGAGGAAATGTCCCGACTGGTGAAAGATTTCAAACAGAGCAAGAGGCGGTGAATCTTTAAAGACGGAAATAAACACAAGCTTGTATCTGTGATAATGTCCAGAAGCTCAGGGATGACCAACTGAAGGGTATCTGTGTTGAAACCTGAATGGACTGATGTGACCTCCCACAAATATATTTAATCACGTGTTAGTTTGTTCAATACACGATATGCAAGTTGAAATGCTGTAATATGAAATTGACAAGGTTTGTCAAGTCTGTATTGTGGTGGAGGAAGCCAAAGGAGGACCCCGCTGTTGCGACAGAACAAAGACTCCCATCTCGATGTTACTGATTCAATCTTATGCCCAGTCCGTCTCCATGGTTACCGATCCTTACCGTGATGTCACGTGATGACTCGAGATCTGTAGCGCTATCAGTCTTTCATTACTGTTATACGTATGTAGCAATTTGTTATATAAGTCATCGTGTAAATACTCATATGTTTCCAAACATTCCTTGGTTTGTCTTTTATCTGAACACGTTGTATGGTGTTTGTGTTTTCAATACGTGTGTATACGTTCATGTTTTATTTACCTGTTATTTTGTACTTGAGATGTCATTGTGATTGTTTTGCAATAAAGTTTGAAAAAATGTTCTTTTCACATTATTTGTCAATAAATGACATCAACACACAGAAACCATACTCTGGGTAAGCACACTGTGCAATGTTTTGGTATCGATCCCCGGATGCACATTTCAGAGATGCGGCGTACAACAATATCCACTCATTCCTTCTTTTGACCATCGTATCTTGCATCGTCAACTCATCTGTGGTGGACGTTAAATGATTTAAAAATTCATATCACATATTTATTATCGCATTACACAAAAACTGTCTATTTAATGGACATCCAATTTCAGATTGTTTCCTAAATATCCGTTTTATAAAAGTCGGATCGCAGTTCCATTGATCGGTTTATCGGTGCTATACAGCAATCGGTATTGGCATTGTACGCATTCTACCCCGACCCTGAAGAATTATTGCTTCTGATTCTGTCATTCCAACAGAACGGGCATTTCAAATTCCATTAGTTCCCTCCAAAGTAGCAAGCCCATTGCCACTCAGGACATATGTAATATAGCGACCATTCATATTGCGTTAGGAAACTAGCTCGATAATGGATAACGGTCCTTTTGACTTCAGGATCTGGGGAGTTAAAGCAGAAAAAGTTATCAAACGTTTAGAAGTTACAGTGACCAGTTATCACATGTGTAAATATGTATGAAAATTAGTCTTCGTTCATTTCATCGCTTGCATCCCCTTGTCTTGCAACATTAAATGTAATGGTTAAGCTAAACGCTATCAAAAAGGCTGATTTCAGACATTTCAATACATTTTGAGCATGAACAAATGTTTGAATGAAGCTGGGTTTTCAAGGAAATGAAAATAAAGCCGAGGGAATAATTGGACATCATTAATATCCTCTAACGACCATATCAACTTTCGTCAAATGATAAAATAGTAGACAATCTAGTGATTGATACTGTGAGCATTGATCCACACTGATCCACACCGTTTGGTTAGACTAGCACAGGCTCTGACTACCCGAGCGGCGGCCGTGGGGGAGCCAAGTGGTTAAGGCGTTCGCTCGTCACGTTTGTTCGATTCCCCAGATGGGCACAATATGTGAAGCTTATTTCTGGTGTCCCCCGCCCTGATATTGCTGAAATATTGTTTAAAGTGGCGTAAAACTAAACGCACTCACTCACTCTGACTATCCGATCCGTTTGGTCGCCTCTAAAGTCAAACCTATGTTGCTGGCGACTAATCTAATCTGGTATTCACTCGCATGTGTCTTTACCCACGCCACATTTATTATGAATATGTATATTACTAGTGTCCCCCGCCATGATATTGCTGGAATGTTGCTAAAAGCGGCGTAAAACTAAACTCACTCACTTTTTATTGTGTATTATGTTAAGAGAGGGTGATAATTTACCATGTACCATGTACTATTACAATGCCCTGTCTCTTCTGATATACGCTGCAGATATATACCCCAATATTATTATGTAAATCCCAACATACAGAAGTTTGTGAATTTACTTAATAACCAAAATGCAAATGTTAGTTTACGCCTTGCAAGATTTGTAAACAAAGTCAATAACATTTTCTGATGCTTATACCAATGCACTTCCCATGTCAGCAATCCATGTAAAAGAGTGTCATTGTTCTCTTGGCTTCATGGCCACTCTACGAAATAAATCTGTCTGTCTGTCTGTGGTGATAATTTATGCTGCATGAAAGAACCTAAACTCGCAAATGTTTGATCTAACTGAACCAGGGAAACAATACTCGTATAAAATATATCAAAATATGCTCTTAAAAATAGCACAATCTGTAAATATAATTTCACTTGCTGAGAGATGGAGATGACGAAGACCACTAAAACACTACTAAAACTACTACTACTACTACTACTACTACTACTACTACTACTACTACAGCTGCTGCTACTACTACTACTACTGCTGCTGCTGCTAGTACTACTACTACTACTACTACTACTGCTGCTGCTGCTGCTACAAATACTACTACTACTGCTGCTGCTACTACTACTACTACTACTACTGCTGCTGCTACTACTACCACTACTACTTCTACTGCTGCTGCTGCTGTTGCTACAGCATCTGCTACTACAACAATGCCACTATTACTACTTCACCAATTCTAAGTAGTTACTAGAGAATCATTCATTCAAGAGGGGGTCATAAAAATAACACGCATATTTGGAGAGCGTCATTATATAGAGGAAATCACTTATCGTACCCCTAATAGTCAATTTTAAAAGTTGTCAAGGCTCTTGGAAGAAACAAACCCTAATAACCCCTAATTCCTTAATCCTTGGTAGGTATACATTGTGCTCTATTTTTATTTCTCAGTCAGGGTTGGGGACTGTTAAGATCCAAGGGGCGTAACTCTAGTCGCACTGAGTCATTAGTGGTGCAATAACTTTACCTTCGTTGGTATGTGTTGTCAATGTTGGAGGTAGATTGTAATTGACCATGT